TGGATGAAAGCCTGTTAAAAAATTCATTATTGTATTATAATATATAATAGAAATATTATTTTGTGTCTATTACTATTTGAAAAATTATAGTATTTTGTATATATTTCTTCATCAGGAATTGAATTCTGTGCGTCCATCTCTACAAGATGAAATTGCAGAAATCAGGAAAATTTTGTCTGAGAGAAATGATCAAATGCGATCTCTCCAAAACCAAGTTTTAGCCTTGACTGCAGCACTCGAGATAAATACAGATTTCCAAAAACTACCGTTGAAAAATTCAGGTACAACAAGAATTTGTCAATTCCTTCTATCATCTTGACAATATCAAATTTTATTTCAGATGAGGCAGAGCCTGAAGATGCATCTCTTGCATTTAATTCATTTGTACAAGTCTTGAATGAAAACACTGGAGAACGAGAATTTTGCAAATGCAAACGTGGACCTATTGTAAATATTTTTTTTACATTTTTAGTTATACAATCTCCTAAGACAAATGACAACTTCGTCATCTCTCTTGTTTATCTTCAGCATAGGAATCAACTATCGGATAAAATGTAATTGTTGTGTTACGGGTCTAAATTCGTATGAGTTTTACACATGAAATCTAACCTCCAAATGGCAAAACTTATTTCCTGTAAATTCGATCTGTCCAAGTTGAAAATTTTGTTACATAAATATTATTATATCATTGATATTTTGTCTTATAGTGCAGTAAATGGAGAGGAAAAATGGCGAAAACTCTGATTTTTTTTGCTGTGCTCCAATGTGTATGAAATTTTGAAAATAGGCTAATTTTACCCGTTTTTTAAACCTTACGAGTTATAAAAACCCCTAAAAATAAGTTTTGGTTGAACATAAAAAGATTTAGGTATAAAGTAAATTATATTTTACTCTCTTTATCTTATGTATCGAATTTTTTTAACCTTTTTGACTCTTAAAAAAACTTTATGAAAAATTGTTTATTAAAAAAATTATTCTAAAATTGAAAAAATTAATGATTTGAATGATCTTTCAAATTCTCAAAAATAATTGCCATATCTATAATTATTTCAACCCTTAAAACTATTGTTAAATAAAAACAGTTAATATTTATAATTACATATTTGAAAATTATTTAATTATAGAATAAAATCAGAGTTTAACATAAATAAAAAACAATAATTAGCAAGAAAAAGACCTTGTATTTTTATCTATATACTTTCATACGAATTTTTCATTCTTTCTAAGGTATAATGAAAGTTAGTTGTTTTTTTTTAAAAAAAAAATGGATTTTATTTTTTCATGAAATCATAAGGTTTTTCAAAACTGTTTGTGCTAAAGTTGTGGTATATGCCAGAGTCTATCAAAATTTTTTGTACCAAGTTAACTGTAGATAGTAAACGATTAATTTTCAGGCACTCATAAAACCGTTTGATTTAAATGAAAAAAACATTGTATGCAAATTGTTACAAACAATACTTGTTTATCTATGTTTTAAAGCTTATTTCGAGCACTATAAAAACCCATTTTCTGGAATGTATAAAATGTAACACCTAGTCGCTAAATGGCTCCAAATACAACAATTAAATCTTGGAAGAAATAAAAAACAGCTTTGCTTTTTCATATCTAGCTTAATATTGTTCCTAGAACACTTTATTAAACACCGATTTATTTAATTGAAATAATTTTTTTTATTTAATTTTGTTCGTTACAAAATTTTCGCTAAAATGTATATTTTTGGAGATATTTGCAAAAAAACCATGAAAAACACCAAAATGAAACAAATTTTTAGTAGCTAGTAACTCGAAAAATATTTGTTTTTTTTTTTAACTTTATAAAGCTTTTTTCTTATAATTAGTTCTTCTATACGTCTTTATTTTAAAAAAAATAGATTTACACCATTATGGAAGGGTTGTCATCTCCCCGGAGTCCAAATTGTTTTCACTATATTGTTAGTTATATTGTTCCTAGAACACTTTATAAAACACCAATTTATTTAATTGAAATAATTTTTTTTTATTTAATTTTGTTCATTAAAATTTTTTCCCTAAAATGTATATTTTTGGAGATATTTGCAAAAAAAAACGATAAAAAACACCAAAAAGAAACGAATTTTTAGTAGCTAGTAACTCGAAAAATATTTGTTTTTTTTTTTAACTTTATAAAGCTTTTTTCTTATAATTAGTTCTTCTATACGTCTTTATTTTAAAAAAATAGATTTACACCATTATGGAAGGGTTGTCATCTCCCCAGAGTCCAAATTGTTTTCACTTTTGAACTTGAAAACGAAAAATTCCCAATGATCTCATAAATTTGTAAACGCTAACATTATTATTATTATTATTATTATTATTATTATTATTATCTTACTATTTTTATTATTGTTATTTTGTTATATTTTATTATTTTTCTAGTATTATTTTATTATTCAGAAATTTTATTTATATTATTTATTAATTTTATTTTTATTATTATTTGCTTGTATTTTATATCAAATCATATGACGGATATTATTTTCATGTAAATTCTATCCTTTGCACTTTTATTTATTTAAATTTATGTTATTATTTATCAATATTACTAGATGTTAATAATTTAACAGTTGTAATACTTATTGAAATTAAAAAAAAATTTAAAAAAAACTTTTGAAATTGAGGGTAAAATGAACCCATTTCCAAAATTTCATGCAAATTGGAGCACAGTAAAAAAATTCAGACCCAAAACGCTCTATTCACTGGAGTATTATTAGTTACCTCAGTTTTGAAATAAACTACAATATTATTCAAAGGGGCCACCAGGTGCTACAGGTTCGATGGGAGCTCCAGGAATGCCTGGTCCACCAGGACCACCTGGACCAGTCGGTCAACGTGACTCTCTTGATTTTGTCCTACTGGCACTAGCAGATGCTCGACACGATTTGGTGGCTTTACAAAAGCGAGTTTTTGCTGGAGAACGGTACGATATAGAATAAAAATATAAAATTAAGGGTCCGATTCTGCCGCATGACAGATGAATGTTATGGCAAGGCCATGTTATGAAGAACTTTTCGTACTAAATATTGACAGAAGCCATGTGGTTGGTGTGCAGTCAGGCATATTTCTCACGTTGCCACATATAAACCCAACCTAGAACACGCACAAATGTCTAAAAAAACTATTAGGTTGTCAAATATCTCCCTTCCGCTGTTTTGCTCTTGCTCTCATACAAAAAGGCGGAAGGGAGATATTTGACAACCTTATATCCTAGATAACATGGTCTTTCTGACCCAGCTTCATAACATACGAGTGGCGTTGCAGTTTATGTGTAAAACGCCTGAATGCCCAGCAAACACATAACATTTTGAAATTATCCATTATGATTCAGTAGCATAATGTATGCAAGTTAGAGCGTAACATAGCCTTGACACAACATTGGCCCATAAGTTTTTTTTTTCTATTTATGTAGAATTCCAAGATTCGACGTAAGATTGGCCCTCAGACGACAACGCATGAAAGAAAAACAAAAGATTAGGCAAAATAGAAATTTCCAATCAGGTGTAGGTGATGCAAATAGTGCAGCATTCAATGATGATGAACAATTTTTTGTGAAAGATACAAAACATCTGCAATTGGAGGATGTTTCCAATGAATCGATGTTGTTGTTTGAAACTGCAGAAGAAACCCTGTGAACATATATGTAACCACCCTGTGAAACTAAAAAGTTTATTTGTAATTAATGTATTAATTACCAATTTAAGTTTTCCACTGAATGACGGTCTCGATGAAGACAAACATATGGATTAATAAACCTGTTTCCCTAATTGCTTTAGTTTTTTTTTTACTTGGTGATATTACCCGACTCAGCACACTCGTTTTAATATATCAACACCAAATTTACATACCCCATATATATATATATATATATATATATATATATATATATATATATACTAGCAAACCCGACGAACTACGTTTCGCCACCAGATGTTTTCGTGAGAAAGATGAAGAAATTTTTTGTTTGCTTTATATTCGAAAAGGAAAATTTTGATTTTATTACACAACAGTAATGAATTTATTTCGATTACAAAAATGAAGAGTTTTTTAGTTGAACTTCTCTAAGTAAATGAAAGTGTATCCGCAAATTATCCGTTTCATTGAAGTGCTCTTTGGTAAACCACCTTTTTTGTTTTTTGGTCTGACGTTAACACAAACAAAGCGGATGGTTTTCCAACTCGTGTACAGGCAACGTATGACTGTCCATGTGAAAAACAATGATTTTCTAAATAATCTATTTGAAATTTATCCCGCAAACACTTAAGCGACTTGTTATTGCGAACGCAAGGCGAACTGGAAATTGCAATCGTTTGAAGTCAAACGGAAACAGCCGGAATCATTGGTATGCCACCAAACCGCCAGCAATTTTTGATTGAATGGTGAAATTCAATGCGTGTACATCATTATTCTTTGCAGCAAGAATTGCTCGTTGACTTAATCAAGCATAATTCTGATAATTCTCACTAATGTCATTACTCGAATTTTTAGATAATCTATTTGAAATTATTTAAAACAATTATTGATTATTTTCATTACTCGAATTTTTAATTACGGTGCGTGAAGTTCCAGCAATTTGCATTGAGGCACGATGCCATGAACCACTAATTTTCTTAGCTATGAACCTTGGGGAGCCATTTTTTATATATATGTAGATTAGGGTGGTCCTTAATATGAACATTTTCGAATTTCCTTGCTCCCAGGGGCTCAAATGGTTCCAAATTGATAAAAAAACAATTCTCTGAAAGTTTTAGCTCTCAATATTGTCTTTTACATAGAGCGCAATTCAATCAAAGATTTGTATGGAAATAGCATGAAAAAATTTTCAAAAATTTCAGAGCGTCGAATTTTCAATAAAAAATGACACGAATTTTCACTTTTAATTCATTTGTCGTTAAGTTATACCTATTTTTTTTTTTAATTTTCAATTTTTTTTCCATGCTATTTCCATACAAAATATTGATTGAATTGCGAACTATCTAAAAGACATCCATATTAAGGACCACCCTAATAAATTTATATATATATATATATATATATATATAGGTCAAATCAAAAAAATAATTAGAAGAATAAATAGAATAATTAGAAGAATAATTAGAATAATAAAGAATTAGAAACAGTACATTCTAATACTTAATTATTATATTATCATAAAATATTACAGAAAGATCATAAAAAATAAATTATATTTAGATGTATCATTAACTTCTGTAAAACTCCACACAATATCTATATCTTTATACAATTTTTATATTCTATATCTAGAAAAATAAAATTAGATCATAATAAAATCTCAGAAAATTGAATTTTTTTTTTATAATGTTTCAAATAAATTTTGATCTATAGCAAAAGTAATGTGATTTACTAAAAACTAGAATCATGATATAAAAATATAAATATAGATATAGTCTTAAATTTATTCTTACATGAGTCTTAAAATATATTAATCACATCAATACTATAAAATAAATTAATTAATTCCCTATAGTGCATAATTTTCAATTCAATCAAGTAATATTATTATTATGATCATAAATAATTTACAATATTCGAACTAAAAAATATATTAAGTACCTTTTCAGTTAAAATATTTCGAATCACTGTAGGAAAAGTGTCCATACCTTATTTCGTTAATGAGGTAAAATACTTTGTGTCATTATGGGTACGATATAATTGGTTGTGAGGCATTAGACATCGCCAAGGCCTGGGAAGTGTTATGGGCAAGACTTTGTTGGGCCATTGCCAGCTGCTGTCCTGGACCACCTGGGTAAAAAAAAATTAATTAGTAGAAAGTGGCCTTTAGCCTTAAGGCAAAATATATATAATTAATTTTTTTCCAAGAAATCAAAAAAATTTCGAACTTTCGAAAAACTTTCAAAATTAAAAAATAATAATTTTCAAATTTGCCTTAAGGCAAGTTGCATAAACTTCCCGAAATGTGTAATAATTGACTTAAGCAACCGAAATTAAGATTTAGATATTTAGATGAAATTTTCAACTGTCTATTTCAAATTAAAGATATCGCTTTCAATTAAATCTGAACATTGCGATTTCAAATAGAATTTACTCAAACACTTTTAAATCAGCAGAATTATGTTAATTATATTGCACAAATACGTGCTTATATGCCCTAAATTTGATATTATTATTATAAATTTTATTGAATTGATAATGTTTGACTGATCACATTACAAAAGCAACTTTTGACTATATTTTTTCAAACTTTGATGAATTTTTAACATTAAACTATTTGTCGTAAGGCCGTAACATTTTAGTATGTTCTATAAGACTATGATATCTATCGTCAAAAAAGTTTCATAAAAACGGGATTTTTTTTCTGCAACAGTTAATTACAAGAAAACGGCCCGGTAGATTTTCACCTAAAACAAATGAGTATATCATCCCAATCAATATCTTTCGAACGGTTTTTGATTTTTTAAAATCGATTCAGAATTGAGAGCAAAAACGTGGACAAAAATTATCAAAAACTAGCTGTAAGTGGAATTCTGTCTTAAGGCAATTAAGGCATCGTGCCTTAAGGCAAATTGCTGCAACTTCCCGTAACAAAAATTATTATTTTTTTAAAAACGATTAACATTTTTGAAAAAGATTACTTTGAAAAAATAAGATTTTTGAGAAACTATAAATTGGACAAAAAATTACTTTTTTAAAAAAATTTTTTTTTTTTAAAAAAAAAGAATTTTTAATTTTTTTTTTTTTTTAAATGTTTTTTTTTATTTTGACATATTGTGGAAGATCTGAACTTTTTTTCAAAGCATCGTACTGCTTTAACTGCATAGGACAAAATATAAAGCGCGTAAGCGCCGCGTCGCTGTCTAACGCATAAGCATTGGTACGGAACCCATAGGAATGTTAACAAAATTTATACTTATTGTTAAAATCTCTATAAAATATCTGATAATTTGATGTGCATATGTCTAATGATCATTTTTGACCGCCAAATGGCACATTTTTTTACTTTTTCCTCCATATCTCCGAAACCGCTAGACCTACCTTCATGAAAATTTGATCGATTCTTCATCATGTCAATACAAGTGAAATGTTTTTTGAATTATTCAAATCGGACGCTCCGTTCTCTTAAAAACTGAGTTACCGTTTTCGGCACTTTTTGCCCCGTATCTCCGGAACGGCTAGACCTGCCTTCGCCAAAAACTAATCAGCACGTCTCCTTATCAATACGAATCGAATGTTTTTTGAATTATTCAAATCGGTTGATCCGTGTTCCCGAAATCGTCGACGAAAATTTGTATCCGCACATACATACACATACGTACATACACACACACACACATACATCCATTTTTTCTAAGTTATGCCAAAATGTTCAGAAACCTCTGAAACGTGAAGATATATAAAAATTTTCATTTTCGATTTTTTTGCGATTACTATAACTTGCCCTACGGGAAGTTAAAAAATCAAGTTTTCGAATTTTTTTTATGATTTCAAAGAAAATATAAATTTTGAGAAATTTCAAAAAATATCAAAATTTTAAAAAATTATCAAAATTAAAAAATTTAAATTTCTTACTATAATCTGAGAATATTTTGAAATTTTCAAAAAAAAACGAATATTTTTTTATGATGATAATTTTCATATTTAAAAAAAAAATGTACAAATTTCTTGTAATAAACATACACATAAGTTATTTCTTATGTTCAAGCGTTACGGGAAGTTGCAGCAATTTGCCTTAAGGCACAATGCCATGCACCACTAATTTTTTTTTAATTTCGAAATCTATTTAACTTCCCGTAGGGTAAGTCATAGTAATCGCAAAAAAATCTAAAATGAAAATTTTTATATATTTTTACGTTTCAGAAGTTTCTGAATATTTTGGCATACCTTGGAAAAAATGGATATATGTGCTTGTGTGTATGTGTGTGTGCGTGTGTGTATGTGTGTTCGGATACAAATTTTCGACGACGATTTCGGGAACACGGATGAAGCGATTTGAATAATTCAAAAAACATTCGATTCGTATTGATAAGGAGACGTGCTGATTAGATTTGGGCAAAGGCAGGTCTAGCCGTTTCGAAGATACGGGGCAAAAAGTGCCAAAAATGGTAACTCAGTTTTTAGGAGAAAGGATCGTCCGATTTTAATAATTCAAAAAACATTTTACTTGTATTGACAAGATGAATAATTGATCATATTTTCATGAAGCCAGGTCTAGCGGTTTTGGAGATCTAATAAAAAAGTAAAAAAAATGCCTTTTGGCGGTCAAAAATGATCATTAGACATATGCACATCAAATTATCAGTATTTTATAGAGATTTTAATAATAAGTATAAATTTTGTTTACATTCTTATGGGTTCCGTACCAATGCTTATCCATTAGACGGCGGCGCGGCGGTTAAAGCTGTGCGATTGCTTTGAAAAAAAGTTCAGGATTTCCAAAATATTTCAAAATACACTTTTCTTCAAAAAGTCTTTCTTTCAAAAAAAAGTAAATTTTTGTCAAAAATTTATAGTTTCTCAAAAATCTAATTTTTCAGAGTCAATTTTTTTCAAAAATATTAATCTTTTTAAACAAATAATAATTTTTGGTACGGGAAGTTCCAGCAATTTGCCTTAAGGCACGATGCCATGCGCCCCACTAGTTTATCTTCTATTATTACCTATAGGTGTTAAAATCTGCTGTCCCGTCGGCTGAGCGTTGGACAAAGTCAGTTGAGTATTTGAAGCAAGTATTTGCTGCTGCGTTGAACTCGTGATTATCTGATTCGGAGCAGTAGCTGGCCCAGTCAGACTCTGCTGCGCCAGCGCCAACTGCTGCGAGTTACTTGCAATTGCTATTGGTGCACTGTTGGCTAAAGAAAAGAAAATAAATACATTCATTACATTTATTAAATACAGTACCTTCAATGATTTTGTAAGATAAACTCAATTTATATATACATACCAATAATTTGTGTTTGAGGTGTAGCCATACTAACTATTGGTGCCGCAACCTGAACTGGTGCCATGGAAACTGCGCCTATTGAGACTGGAACAGTTGCCACACTGGCAGTCACCGTCCTGATAACCTGATAAATGAAACAGTAGTCTGTACTTAATAAAGTACTACTAAAAATAAGGTTGTCAAATATCTCCCTTCCGCCTTTTTGTATTATAAACCAAGAGCAAAAAAGCGGAAGGGAGATATTTGACAACCTAATATTTTCAAATTGCTGTGAAACAGTACTCTGTACTTGATATTTTGCAATTGCTATGTTTATATTTTCCAAATTTACAGTAGAATTGGAGCCAATGAACTCGATAAGTTTCTTAGACATAAAACTTATACGTACTCCTGATAAACTAATACCAAAAACCAACTAACTCAGATTGTTACCTTAATTATTTTTTTCATCCACTCAAAATGAAAATAGGTACTATAATAAATCTGACTGACTACGCATTACTTCTATCGGACAAAACATTTTGGGACAACAACATCAATTTAATTACAAAAATTCTAACAGATAAACTCCTATCTAGGGACTGCAATACCGATGGAAACTTTCCATACCGGTATTTTTCATTTTAAAACCGGAATGCCGGTAAATTACCGGTATTTTTTTTATCTTAAACAAACGTAAACAAAATTGAAAGTTACTAGTACAAATATAAAAAAATGTCTATACAACTACAACTATATTCAACTAAACAATAAAATAAAGCAGTAAGTTTATTTTTTTAAATAATAATTTAACAAAATTATATCCAATATAATTAATTCATTACCACTGTCGAGTATATTGAGTATTTTTCACCAAAAACGAACTTATGAGTAAGAAAGACGAAAAATTCATAAAAGATCATATTACATTATTATGATAAACTGTATTGTCTGTATCCGATGTGTTAAATTAGCATAATCTCCAATATTTAAAAAAAAATCTACACTAATTTAAGATCGGATACTTTGTCGAGATAAATAATAAGTTACTATAATTGTTGAGTATTGTTATTTAAAACAATGTGATGCTTCTATAGTATTTTCAAACTTGAAAACGTTTTCGAAAAATAATACTTTATAATTGTAATAAAAAGCAAAAATATTTAGTAATTATCATAATTATTATGTATAAACTTAGAAAAAATTAAAGATTACGGGGTAATATGTATGAAAATAAAATATTTTAGCGCAAATGTCACTTAAACCTTTACATTTTTACATAAGATGAAACACCATTATCTATCAGCCCAATTCTATTTATTGTAACACGATATGAAGCTCTTTGGAAAGCAATAAATATTCAGTTTAATGACGAGTTGAGATAATATTTTATATTTGTTTATCCTATAGAATCACTTGAAAATATAGCTGTTTATGCGATTATGAAATATAAAGATAAATTTGTTCCGAGAAATTTGAACTTTTGTGTATTATGTATCAAATAGCGCTTATGTAAAAATACCGAAAATACCGGTATTTTTGGGGTAAATACCGGTAAAAATACCGCCGAAAAATCGGGCGGTTTACCGGTAATTCGGTATGCCGGTATACCGGTATTGCATTTCCTACTCCTATCCCTTAAAACTTATAAACTCCGTAACCAGTAACAGACGAATGTACCTTATGAATAAAATTGACAATTCCACAGTACATAACGATTTACCTGACTCAAACACTCATTCTGGTGTAATATGTTTGCCATACATTAAAGAATTGTACGTTCCTTGGAAAAAACTTTTTTACAAATCTGGACTCCGACTTGTAAAAAATTTTAGTACAATGACTAGTGCTATTTTTACTAAAATAAAAGCCCAAATACAAAAGCAAAAATATTTTAAAGTCTTTTCTCCATATCTTCAACCAGTCTACGAACAACACATATTACACACTATCTATTTGTAATTTTTTAAATTAGTATTTTGTGAAAATATTGTTTAATTACAAGTTTATTGTTTAAATTACATAATATAATGCATTACCATATTCCAATACCATGGATTATTAAAATCTTCCAATTTGACACTAAGCTCAACTAATTGTAAGTACTATTTACTCTTTTTATTTTTTCTTTTCACTCCGATTCAATTGTTTTAGTTTTTAATTTTATTTTTAGTTTCCACTGAATGAAGGCTAGGATTATAGCCGAAACGTATGGACTTAAAATAAATTGTTGAAAGAAATATGTTTTTTTTATGTTATGCCCAATTACTAGACTTTGTTAATACATGTCAATATCAAATTCAGAATCATACAAAAAATTATATATATATATATATATATATATATATATATATATTTACACCAAATTTTGGTAAGATGGAATTTAGTAAAATGCTTGCGTTTTACCTGTGGCTGAGGTTGAGTCGTAGGTGGAACCGTAGTGTTTGTTATAGTAACAGCAGGCACTGTGACTGCAGTCACATTTCCTTGTCTGGAACCTCCCATACGCAACTGTGCATTTTGCTCCAACAAAAATTCATTTGTTGCCGTCAGATCAGAAACCTGTGAATTAAATTTAAGTTTATAGTATATTTAAAAATCATAACTATTTCCATGTCCATTTACCTGTTTCCGTAATTCTTCTACTTGCTTTCTCAATATAATATTCTGTTCTTCCAAAGGAATCCTGCGAAATGAATTAACAACATGGTAATATACAATTTTAAGTAAAGAATTTAAAGGTTTGTCGGTTTTCAAAAACCGGTTTTTTGGCGAAAATTATGGAATTCGAAAACCGGTTTTTTAGTGAAAAAAGTCAAAAAAAGTGAAAAAATGGAAAATGACAAATATAGCCAAATGTAAAAGATAGATGGAAGCGTTTTGATTCTTGAAATCATATCGGTTCAATAGCATTTGATATCTTATCAGTCTGCAATGGTTCCCAGAAAGGTTTTATATATAAGGTTGTCAAATATCTCCCTTCCGCCTTTTTGTATTATAAACCAAGAGCAAAAAAGCGGAAGGGTAATGATATTTGACAACCTAATATATTAATTTAAATTTTTATACCAGTGTATGTATTAAATAATCAATGTGACTTCTTCTTGAAGAAGTAACTTCTACTCAAACTTAAAAAAAGAGTTTTAAACCCTAGAAGCCACAAATTAAAGAACAAAAAACTTAGAATTATTATATCAGACTTTAAAAACAATTAAGCACAATTTGGCAAGTATGAGAGTATTTTCTATTTCAGGAAATTTTGTGAATAAACAAAGGACACGTCTAAGTAGCAATTCAATAGACGTTCCCAGTTTTTTGGAATCAAATTTTATTAAACAAAAAACAATTAGAATGTTTAAAATTAATTAATTAAAATTTCTCTGAACGAGTTTAGCTTAATTGTTTTTAAAACTAAAATTGATATTAACAAGTATGTATCAACATGTATCTAATATTTTTTTACTTTTATTTTTTAATTTAATGATTTTTTTTATTTATAAATGTATTATTTTTATTTATTCAAAAACTTTCCTTTCACTATCATAACAATATTTTCATTCTTATATGTGAAAATGATGCATGAATAACGAATAATTATTTTCAAAGTTATTTAATCAAGATAAATTATTATTTTTTAGTTCCACTAATTAAAATCAAAATAATTATGTTTACTATCTATAAAATTGAACAATAAATAAATCAGTCAAATGCTGCTCTAAATTACACCAAATTTGCGGATAATTTACAGAATATTCGAGCAAAAATTTATTTTCTATATAAAATTCGAAAACCGGTTAAAACCGGTTTTTTAGTAAAATTGAAATTCGAAAACCGGTTTTCTAAAATGGCGGTTTATGTATAAACACAATTAAAAATGTAAATATTTATCCAAACCTGTTATAAAACGTATTCGTTTTATCTTCATAAAATCTCTTCTTAACTGGAGGTTCATACGAATCATATCCTGCACCATTAATTGTGTATTCACCTCTAATGACCCTAGAGTCGCTACAAGAATCATAACCAGACACATCATGGGTCTGGTACAAAACACCATTAATTTCATTTGGATGCCTATCATCTATGCTGCTGTAACCGATATCTTGTTTCACATAATCTTGTCTCAAACTTCGTATGTTATTGTTCAATCTCCACGATACCAGTTTTTTGGGCTCTTCGTGAAAATTATTACTGGGTATTTGGTGAGGTTTTCGAATACCATGGCCATTTTCAGAATTTCCATTTTCTTCTTGATATTGCGCATAGGTGATGTGGCGGAACTTGCAGTCGTTTCTGCGCCTGAAATAAAAGATATACTAGTGGTGCATGGCATCGTGCCTTAAGGCAAAAAACAATAACTAGTTGGTATTGGTATTTTGCCTTGAGGCAAGTTACATGAACTTCCTGATTTGTATATAATAATCGACTTAATTAATAAAAAATAAAAATTTATGAGTGATTAAAAGTATTCCGAGCGGATTCATTACACATCATTGAAAACGAACGAACACGTTAACTCGGAGTATTTTCTAAAAGCAAATTTTCAAAAATCAACAATTTTTATAATTGAACCAGTTTCCGTAGAACTTTAATGCTTTAGTATGTTTATTAAGATCAAGTGCTCTATCGTTATACCAAGTAAAACGTCTAATTTATATTTTAATAAACGTCAAAAAAAATACTCATTTTCTCAAACTTTGATAAATTTTTGAAATTAAATTACTTGTCGTAAGGCTCGCCAAAAAAAAAAGTGCCATAAAAATCGACTTTAATTTTTTTTTCAACAGTTAATTATAAGAAAACTGCTCGGTAGATTTTCACCTAAAACTAATCAGTATCATTCCCAACTAATATCTTTCGAACAGTTTTTGATTTTTTAAAATCAATTCGGTAGTTTGAGGTTAAATGTGGACGAAAAGTTTAACACTTTTTTTCAAATTACAAAGAAACGGTTTGGCAGATCGACTCACATAACTGACAAACGATAGTCCTCATTGAGATACATCAAATGGCTTTTAAATTTTTGAAATCGGTTCAGGCGTTCGAAAACGTCGATCAAAAGTCTAATTTTTGCAAACTTTGATGAATTTTTAAAGCTAAACGTGTTGTCATAGGGCTGTAATATTTTAGTATGATCTAGAAGACTATGGTACTACCGTCAAAATAATAATCATAAAAATCGTGGATTTTTATAAAAAAAAACTTTATTACAAGAAAACGGTCCGACCGATCTTTACCAAAAACTAATCAGGTCGATTCCCAACCAATATATTTCGAACGGTTTTTGAATTTTCAAAATCGATTAAGAATTGCGGGCTAAAACGTGAACGAAAAATTTTTCACTTTTCTGCAATTTACAAAGAAACGGCTCGGCCGATCGTCACACAAAACATGGAAATACATCGAATGGCTTTTCAATTTTTGAAATCGGTCCAACCGTTTTTGAGAAAACGTCAATTTACAGCAAAAAATCTGTTCAACACACGCACACACACACACATACTTTTTCCAAATTTGGTCTCATTCGATTCAGAATGACTTGAAACGTCGAGAAAACATAAAATTAGCGTATCGGATTGAAATATTGATCAATGATTAATAACAATTGTTTTAAATATTTTCAAAGAGATAATTATAATTACTATATATGTTATCGTTCATATAATATACAGTAATGATCTTGTCTCTCAAAACACTTAAGAATGTTTACATTAACAAGAGATGCCAAATCTGAGGATATATTTCTTACGATTACAATAACGCATATGAAATATATGCATTTTTAAAGTGAATTGTAAATTTAAAATTTATATTTAAAGTATAAAACTTTGTAATTTTTTTTAAATTTTAGAAAAAAAAATCTGAAAATTTTGAAATTTGTTTGAACCGTATAAGTAAACTTTAAAATTTAAAAATCTATTTTTTTGAGAATACTATAACTTAGATAAGTTGAAAATGAGTATGCATATAATAAACTTATTTTTTATTACTATCTATTATTATTATACCTGCAAGAGCCCAAAATAAAATCTTTGCAAGCCGGTCCTCCTTTTCCTCTATCACGCATCACATTTTCTGCCTCATGAGGAAAATATCCGTTTGTTCTGAAGAATATTTCATCCGTAACAGAATAATGTAGAAATCTGTAAGCATTTATATATAAATAAATACAATAATAATATAAAAACAATTTGTAGGTATTACGTACTTGCAATTAATTCTCGTACAAGTTCGATTTTGAAAGTCGTGACAAAACATTACTCCATCGGGTGCTGTATTTGAAATTTCGTGCCTAAACTGAAAAGATAGTAAAAATCATATATAAATTTTATTTAAAAAAATAATGCATACTTAATAAGAATACATTAATCCTTAATTTTAAAGTCAAAATTTTATTACATAATATTCCCAAAACTAATCAGCATGATTTCCAAATGATATCTTTCGAAGTTTTTGTATTCCCAAAATTGTTCAAAATTTGGAAGTTGGTCTCTTCGATTCAGGCTTCAAACGTCGAGAAAACTAAATAAAATTAGCAATTTGGATTTTATCATAAAACCATAAACTTTTCCTTCGGAAGTTTGTTATCACTGAATAAATAAATAAATCAAATAAAGTTTTCATATTATTACCTTGCACTGGTGTCTCCGACAGACACCACGTTGAAAATCTCGACACATCTTTCTCTCTCCTGCATTTTCTCCAGAATTTTCAGCAGTTTCTTCCGAAGTTGACATATTGTTCAAATTTAGGCTAATCCGTAAATTGCTTTAGAGTTCTGATCATTTCTGTTCTCGGAAAATTGACGCTGTACAGTCTGCATTTTGGGACCTGGTAATAAAAATCTATATATTAATAAGGATATTAAGATATCACGTAAAATATTAAGATATCACGTGTATTTATTTTTTACCTGAATTTAAAAAAAAAAACGAATAAGATCCAATAATCCTTTAAAAAATTCCCAATTAATCACGTGACTAATGGCCCACTTAATAGGCTCAAAGATCCTTATCTAATTAGATTTTTAAAAAAAATCTTAATAAATTCATATCAGATTCTTACCGTGTTCTCATTTTAGTTCTAACTGGATCTTGTTAAATTCGTATCAGATTCTAACCGGCTTCTGGATTGAATTAGATTGTTATCAAAAAAAAAAACGTTTTAGATTCTAACTTACTCTTTTATTCCCAACTAATTTAACTAAAAAATCTAATATTTCTTTTCCAAGCTTTTCAAAAAAATATTAAACAACGGTACGGGAAATTTTAGCAATTTGCCTTAAAGCACCATACTATGCAGTTATGCACCACTAGTTATATTCGAACTTGATAACTTGCTTTTAAATAATATATTTCTAAAATTTTGCTCAAATATTGCTAAAATCTTATCAAACTAAGATTCAGTGCTAATTCTACTAATCATATAAATTAATAAAAATCATTAAAATTTGGAATAATGGACAGCGCTTTTATGACGTACAGATAATATGCAGCTAATATATAAATATAAATACATATAAATAGTTAACATCAAAAAAATCGATAGATTTAAAGTGTTGTAAATCCTTGAAGAAAAACAATGCCCAAACATCTTTTATAAAAGCAAAGTATTTTATTCTGTAAGAAACCGCAGGGGATATCTAATACTGGTCATTACTCAGCTTGATATGATGTACTTGTTTCCAATATTATATACTACCCACAAATATACATATATATATATATATATATATATATATATATATATCATGTTCTCCCTCACATTTTATATAAAATATATACAATATACATATAAATTCATATTCTAAGAAAATCAACGCCAACATTTCATCAGTATTATACAAGTGGCGATCAAGTTTAGACTGAAAAAGGGCTATTATTAAAAAAATTACTAAAGAATTTTAAGTAACTACTTTAAAATGAAAAAAATCGTCTTAATTTATTTCTTCATTTACGCTTATAATTTCAACGTAATCGATTGTTTAGAACTAGAAGGAAACTGTGAAACTTTGGAATCAGAGATTCATCTAATAAAAGGTAAGGGGATTATATTACAATGATAAATAACGTAACATATTTTCAAATAAATTATTTTTGAAATTCGTTATCAAGCCTGCAGTAATTAAGTTAACCCTTTCGCTCCGTTTGACGACCTGTGTGTACGAGTGTCGCCTATAGATTGTCCACTTTAGTCCAAGATTTATTACTAGTTATTTATTAAGAATGATTAATTGTTATTATAGTATAAAATTAAGAAATAATGTATATGCAATTTTAGACTTATTGCGTTATTTATTAAACTGAATTATATAATTTCATCTGCCAAACAATATACTGCTTCTTATATTATTTTAATTTCTGGCATCTCAGTCGCTTTTCGGCAATAATAATGCAGACATTACATTTTTCTTGTATATTATATTCTAATTCAATCTAGGCTCATATGTTCAGCTAAATTCAAATTTCAAGTGAATTGACATTTCTAGCAGATTACAGTTCAAAGGTTTTCAATGTCAAACAATGATAAGTGGTTTTATGTAATTTTTGCCATTCATTTCTACAATTACTATAGTTTTATCGTTCATTAAATCTTAAAAGTTTCCTTGACAAACTCTAAAAAGAATTATCAAAATCCAAATAACCGTTTAAGAGAAGTACCAAATCATTCACCCGTAGTAAAAAGAATTTCATATATAAGATTTATTATTACAAAAATAGTTAAATCGAGTACACGTGCAAGGTGCATTTTGCCTTCAGGCAAGTTGCATAAACTTCCCGATATGTGTAATAATTGGCTTAATAACCGAAATTGAGGTTTAGTTATTTAGATAAAAATTTCAAGTACTTATTTCCAAGATGGGGTTTCACTTAAAAATTAGTCAATGCGATTTTCAACTGATATCTCTCATTAACATTTATAATATCTGTAATTATATTAATTTAAGTGCACAAAAACGTGCACTTGTCCTAAAAGGTTCTAAAAGTACAACATATTATTCCCAATTTTAACGAGTTTTTGTATCTTACTTTAGTAATATTTTAGTAATATTTGAGCAATATATTAATAATATTTTAGTTGTAATAAAGTCGCAATAAAGTCAGAAGTAAGTTAAAATTAAGTTCTAATCTAGTAACAATTTGGTTGGAATCCACTTAGGAATTAGATTTTAGTATAAATCTGCAATATGTTCAATTCTAGTTATAGTCAAGTTTGAATCAGGTTAAAATGTAATAAAAATCAAGACGAATCTAGAAAAAGTTTAACCATTTAATAGCATGCATTTAATAGCTCTCAATTCTGAATCAATTTTAAACTAGTGAGGCGCATGGCATCGTGCCTTAAGGCAAATTGCTAGAACTTTCCGTACCAAAAATTATTATTTTTAAAAAAGATTAACATTTTTGAAAAAAAAACTCTGAAACAATTAGATTTTTGAGAAACTATAAATTTTTGACAAAAATTTACTTTTTTTGAAAAAAAAAAAAAAAAGAATTTTTGAAGAAAAAGTTATTTTGAAATATTTTGGAAATTCAAAACATTTTTTCAAAACGATCGTACTTGCTTAACTACATAGAGACAAAATATCGAAGCACCGCGTCGCCGTCTAACGGATAAACTAATAAAACAAAATTTATACTTATTGTCAAAATCTCTATAAAAATATCTGATAATTGATGTGCATACGTCACAGATCTGCCTTCGCCAAAAACTAATCAGCACGTCTTCTTATCAATACGAATCGAATGTTTTTTGAATTATTCAAATCGCTTCATCCGTGTTCCCGAAATCGTCGACGAAAATTTGTATCCGAACACACACACATACACGCACACACACATACACACAAACACCCATTTTTTCTAAGGTACGCCAAAATGTTCAGAAGGGTTTGAAACGTGAAGATACATAAAAATTTTCATTTTCGATTTTTTTGCGATTATATTTAATTAATTCATTCATTAAAATATATAATAATGAGTTACTAATTTTAGGACATACAAGCACGTATTTGTGCAATATAATTAATATAATAACATGTTAAAAGGTGCTTGAGTAAATATTCGAAATCACAATGTTTAGATTTAATTGAAAGCGATAACTTTATTTTTAAAATAAAGAGTTAAAAATTTAAAAACTAAACTAAATGCCACTTTCAACTAGTTTATATTTTACTCACAAGTGATTTCATTTCAGAGGAGTACGACGAGCTGGGACAACTGCAACGCACCTGCAACGCTGAAGTCCTGGTCAACAAATGTGAAGGCGCCTGCAGCAGCCAAGTTCAGCCATCGGTCATCACACCAACGGGATTCTTAAAGGTATTCTGGGAAATAGAAATATTGATAGAAAATGGAAAAATATATACTACCCTAAATTTTCACCCTTCTACCACAAATTCCTAATTTGTAATAGTAATGGAACAAATGATACATTATAGTCTTTCTTGTGATCTTATATATAAAAATGGAGCTCTCGATCAAATGATTCGGTAAAACTCGAAAACGGCTAAACCGATTTGGCCGGTCTTAGTCTTGAAAAATTCGTGCCAATCCAGAGAAGGTCGGAAAGGTGAGATATTATTTCAAAATCGCGTAGAAACTTTACATTTTTAATTTGAAATTTTTTGTAGAAGCGTAATTTGAATGAAACAATGGACGGTGGCTAAGTCAAACGTTTTTGACAGATGATGTTCAATTACGTTTAATACAGTGTTTTACGTGAATATTATTTAATTATGATTAAATTGTAGTAAGTAGTTTTGTTTGTAGTTTCATTTATATACAAAAACGTTAGTAAACGGGCCGCAAGTGTTGATAGAAACTCAAAATATCAACTTTTTTGAAATGTTAATATGAAAATGCACTTTTTGGCATATTTTTCTCAAACACGGTGCTCTGAAAGATCTCATTTGTATAATTATATACTCATTGGTATTTATAAAACATTTTCTAGGTTATATTATTTTTTATTCATATTATTTAAATTGAGAACCAAAATTTGGTATTAGTTATAATTTTCCAGAATTTAACGAAGAATAGATAGAAATATATGAATGCCCGGAGTTAAAAAAATCCATCACCAATGTGTCAAAAATCACAATCCATCACCAATGTGTCAAAAATCACAATCCATCACCAATGTGTCAAAAATCACAATCCATCACCAATGTGTCAAAAATCAAAGTTAAGCATTGTTTAACAACAATATTTGAAAGTAGAGGGAAAGAGATGTATAACCAGCTACTATTTTTTTCCGTTGGTAGTTTTTTAGCATTAGTTAAAAATGTAATTGTTTTGTAAAATACCTTTAAAATTAAAATAAGACATTAAACCCGTTTGCCACCTGGCCGTTACAAGTTACTCCGCCTATAGGGTAAAAAAGTCTAGATAACAATTTTTTTAAAGACAGCAAAAAAGCACTTTTCTACAATGACAGTTTTACTAAACGTAGTCAGATAATTGTTCGTTTGAAATGTGTTATTTGTTGTGATATAATTGGTTTGATTTATATAATATCATTAATATTTGCTCAAAGTCAAATTGGACCTTTGTGCCTCGTCCTGCTCTACATATATAGTTTTTATTAAATTTACTTTAATTCGTCGAATGTTACTTGAAACTTCTCAAAAAGCAGGTTAAAGAAGAAATACTTAATTTATTTTCTACCTCTCCTCGCAGAAATTTGAAAATTTTGTATAAGCTCAGTAGTATTATTTGCAATTATACACAAAATCCAGAATCCAAAAAGAATCTGAAAAACTTGAAACGTAATCAATAAGTCGAGAGACCAAGGAAGACTTGGATTGGATTATACCATGTTTTCTATAGAGAGTGTATAAAACTTCCAGTAGACAAAATGAAGACAAACTAATGAGGTTTATTGTTTTTATAATGCATCGTTGTATATAGCATTCAAACAACACATCCTTATACACTTGAAGTAATAATATTTTTGATTCTCTAGAAATTGTTTAGAATATACCTTGCTTAGCGAAACAACGTTTGGCGGGTCAGCTAGTTTTATAATAATAGTGTCGATCAATGCAATTATTAAGAAAAAATCTATTACCATTTTAGGAATGTTACTGCTGCAGAGAGTCCCTAATGAGAGAACGAACCATAACCCTTTCCCATTGCTACGATCCTGATGGTATCAGACTGACAGACAACGGCCTGGACACGATGGAAATGCGTATCAAAGAACCAGTCAATTGCAAATGCTTCAAATGCGGAGACTTTAGCAGATAAATCATAAAAAAGAACATGTTGATGATAAAAATCCTAATATTTTTTTGATTGTAATAAATTTTAAGTTGTTTAAGTAAGTTTAAAATATATATTTGCATACTTGAATTGGAGTCATCAATAAATATTATATTGAATAAAATGGTATTTTATTTATAAAAAAGATGATCATGTATGTGATATTTAAATTGTTGCATAATGGGTGTTTTATAAGTTTATTTATAATTTATTATATAAACTAGTGGTGTATGAAAACGTGCCTTGAGGCAAATTGCTGTAACTTCCCATACCGTAACGAAATGCTCGAGGAATATTGAATGTTTTCAAATAGATTATTATAAATACTATAATATTGTCTAATATTTATTTAAAACACAAAGTTAAAATTACTTATTTAAAGTATATAAGTCAGCTTTAGAACTTTAGCTCAGAATTAAAGTTAAAATCTGAATTATTTTCGATATAAAAAAATGTTTTTGAATTTTTTTTTCAAAAGTAATTGTTTTGTTAAAACAAGCAGAAAGTTTTTTGAATCATCCAAATCGGATGCTTAGTTCTTTCAAAAACTGCATTTTTTGCACATTTAGCTCGATATCTCCGAAACGGCTGGAGCTGCCTTTGCCAAAAACTAATCATCACTTCTCTCTGTCAATAGGAATCGAATGTTTTTTAAACCATTCAAATCGGTGGATCAGTACGCCCGAAAACCCAAACACATCCATTAATCTCGAATTCAAAAAACAGTGTTAGAGTTCGACAACTCTTAATAAAAATAAATTGTTTATTTGAGGGTCAAAATTTATAAATGGAATAAAAAAAATAGTCCTAAAACTCACAAACATCCATTAATCACAAATTCAAAAAAGTGTTAGAGTTGGACAACCCTTAATAAAAATAAATTGTTTATTTGAAGGTGAAAATTTATAAATGAAATAAAAAATTGACTCAAAAAATAAAAAAAATAATCTTGAAGGCTGCTCGAGTTAAAAATGGTAAATTATTTTTCACTTGTTTACTTATACATTTAGAAACTTGATACGTGTCATCATTTAGTAAATATAAATTACAAAAGTTTAATTTAAAATTTTGAACACTATTTTGAAAAAATATATTAACATTTTTAAAAATCATCAAGCAAAAATTTACATACTAAACCAGAAAAAAATAAATCTAGAGTACAAACATTTGTTTAAAATTTTGAAAACTATTTTTAACAAAAAATTTGATCAAACAAAAATTCACATACTAATCCAGAAAAAAACAAATCTAAATTACAAAAATTTGTTTACTATTTTAAAAATCATTCTCAGAGTTTTGTAAGGCTCCGTGGTTTATGACCAACCACATGATCCATAAAGACCTAAAAATTCCAACAGTGGCGGAAGTTATTAAGAACAGAAGTTTTATCTTTCAAAACAAATTGGATGCACACGTCAATCCGGAAATGCAAATAGTACAAACAGCCGAAAAATTAAAACGCCTGAAAAGAAAATGGCCCAGTGATCTACCGTCAACAACATAATTTCCCTGTTTCGCACAGGAAAATTTTCAAACAAGTTATTTTTAATTATTATTTATTATTGATTATCGTTTTTATTATTAATACTATTATTTTAATTATTATTTATTCATTCATTTATTCTATTTCTTTTCTTTAATTTCCTTTATTCTATTTTTTTTTCTTTTTGATTTTGATTTTCAATACCATAACTTTTAACTTATAGATTGTATTGTAATCTGATTGTTAAAATTAACAGAAATAAAAAAAAAAAAAAAAAAAAAACTATTTTAAAAAAATATATAAACATTTTGAAAATTTTTCAAGTAAAAATTTACATACTGAACCAAAAAAAACAAAACAAAAATTGAACAATATTTAAAGAAAATTGTCTTCATTTTTTAAAGCATTTTTTTTTTTTTGTAATATCATAAATAAAGTATATATTTTGTAAAAATAAAGGAGTGAAAATTATTTTATCATTTTTAATTCAATGAATTGACTCTGATAATTATATCAAATATGTTTTGATGCCAAAAAAACATTCAAAAAGTTAATTTTAAATATATTGCAAAACTTTTAAAAGACTATAAAAAATATTTTTAAAAATTGCAAACAAATATTATTATTTTATAAAGTGGAAAAAAAGGTATGAAAGATGAAAAAAGTAAGTAATTAGTAAGTAATTTTTAACAAATTAATATTCCCTACTCGCACAATTCTTATGATCTAGAAATAAATACATACATACATACATATATATATGTATATATATAAATATATGTATATAATATATATGTAAATATTATATATTCACATATATAATATGTGTGCATAATGGTGTGTAATATATTTATTCCTTCGCAAAAGTTTCATGTACGCTAAGTGTTTTCTATTGTCTCACAGCAGGATTAAGGAAGAAACATGTGTTTACATGAAATACTAGCTCATATATCAAAGCAAACATTAAGTGCAGAAAGTTCAAATGAGTCATTACTATCATTACCAGCTCAACTTTAAAAAAAACTTGATCCAATAATAATTAAGCTGCCAAAAAACAGCTGAGATGTGCCAGAAATTAAAATAATATAAGATACAGTAAACTGTATATGTTTTGCAGATGAAATTATATAATTCAGTTTAATAAATAACGCAACAAGTCCAAAATTGCATATACATTATTTTTTTAAACAATTGAAGAATCTTCTCATATGTACTAGATTTTACAAATTAATTGACCTAAGATTTGAACATAAACAATAATGTTTATTGAATTATTAGTAAGAAAAATGTACTTTAGAAATTATAATTGCCAAAAAGCAACTAATATATCGTGAGATTATGAAAATTATAGAATAAATTATTGAAGCAATTATGTTGTGTGGTAAAATCAAGTGTGATTTGTTCTTTTACCGTAGATATTACATTATTTTTTTCTGAATTTTTTATACTGCTTGTGCTAAGACCATAAATTAATCACAAAGGTAGGGCATCAAATAGGATATTAAAATGTATAAGATAGGATATTAAGAAATTTGGAATTTTTTAATTGTAGACGTGGGTACAAGACAATGTCTGTCGGGTCATCTAGTATATACATATACATATATATATATATGCATACATGCACCTACCCACATACATATATATATATATATATATATATATATATATATATATATATATATATATAAGTATATATGACTAACAAGACATTAGCTGGCTGTACATAGAAAATGTATATAGGGTGTTTAGGCCGTATAAAAGCATAAGAAAGCTCTCAGAAGCATTAGTGGTGTTTTGATATCAAGACTTGTAACATATAATACTATCGTATTATATCGTAATAGCATGAAGTACAATTTCTATTATTTTTCCTTGTATGTATGTGTATGTATTCCAGAAATTTTGGCTATGCAGAAGACAGGTGATAACTAAATAGTAATAAAATCATTGATTTAATAAAATTAGAAAATATCAGTAAAATTAATTAATCAATAAAAATTAATTAATAATTCGCTTATTAGTGTTAAATTATTTATAACATTCCAAAAGATTGTAAAAATGTTTTACTTATAGATCAAAGTTGAATTAAATTAGTTTATGTTAATATTATATTTATTATTCAATTATACGCAAGTTGTTTCATTTGGATCGAAATTGAATTGATAAAGTTGTATATCATTTCCATAACCATATTAGAATCTGGTTGAGTATTATATATAAAATCTTTTTCCTTATTTAGATGATTGCTCCGTTACACCCGTAATTCACGTTTTACAATATCCTGGCTGCGTGCCTAAACCAATACCGTCTTTCGCATGCATCGGAAGATGTGCCAGCTATGTACAGGTTAAAAATAAAAATATTAAATAATTACTAAATATGTACACTTACTTGATCAATTTTTAAAATGTGTCTTGGAAACATTCAGGTATCAGGAAGCAAAATTTGGCAAATGGAAAGATCTTGTATGTGTTGTCAAGAATCAGGAGAACGAGAGGCTTCTGTTTCTCTATTTTGTCCAAAAGCTAAACCGGGAGAACGCAAATTCAGAAAGGTTAATAATAATAATAATAATAGATAATTATAGTTAATTGTTGAAATAAGTTTACCTGTGTTAATTCAGTTAAGAAGCACAATGTGAACACTTCAAAGCAAAACTAACCAACTGTTTTTAATGCTAAACTTGACTAACTAACTTTTTAATTAACGCCGTGACTTTATTTTATAAATATAATAATGTGCACTAACAAACATTCCAATTTACAAACTATTGCCGAAGCTGTCAAAATAGTTGCCACCATAGATAAAAGAGATAGGGTTGCCATATGCAAATATGGCGCTCGTAAAAAAGCGGCAAATTCAAATAGTAGTAATTTCAAATTTATAAACAAGAATAGTAAGATCATAAGTAAGATCACATTAGCATTTCTCAAACTATGTAATATAAACAATTATGATTAAACTAGTGGGATGTATGGCATCGTGCCTTAAGGCAAATTGCTGGAACTTCCCGTACCCTAATGAAATATTCGAGGAATATTAATTGTTTTCAAATAGATCATTATAATTATTTTGAAAATTAAAAAATAATCAAACTAACAAAAATTTCTTTACCCAAAAGTAATCGTTTCGTTAGCACAAGCAGAAAGTTTTTTAAATCATTCAAATTGGATACTTAGTTCTCTCAAAAACAGCCATTTTTTGCACATTTAGCTCTGTATCTCCGAAACGGCTGAGCCTGTCTTTGCCAAAAACTAATCAGCACATCTCCGTATCAATAGAAAACAATTGCTTTTTGAATTCTTCAAATCGACTGATCCGTGTTCCCGGAATCGTCGACAAAAATTGGTATCCGCACACGCACACACACACACACATACACAAATCCATTTTTTCAGAAATCTTTTGAAACGTAATGATATACATAAATATTCATTTTTTCTTGCAGGAAGTTAATTAAAATGCACAAAATAACAATTAATAAAAAAAATGCACTTAGTAATGATTAAACTATAAAATTTGTCTGATAATACATTATTGTGGTACATTTAACATCATAAAATTGTTATTAATTGCAGGTTATTACAAAGGCTCCATTAGATTGCATGTGCAGGCCATGTACAAGTATCGAAGAAAGTGCAATTATACCGCAGGAAATAGCAGGCTATGCTGATGAAGGCCCTTTAAATAACCATTTTAGAAAATCACATCACATTCAATAAAACCAATTATGATTAAACACAATGACAGGATTTGCTCTTCTCGATATAAGAAAATAAAATGTACTCATAGAATTGAAAACACAGTATTTCTAGTTAACTGTTCACTATTGCAAAATATATATACATTGCAGTTAATTTCTGCATAAATAAAACCAACCAAATTTTGTTTAGTATATATTTATATATACTAAAAGCCCATATTGTAATAAATACAATTTTAATATATTAATTGTATTCTTTGACATATTTTATAGTTGTGACACAGCACATCCCAAACTAAGTAAGTAGTGGCTTTGCATTCACGCAAGAAACTTGAGAAGTCTAAATTCCTTCAAAATCATAATTACACAAGTAAATGATTTTGAAATAATGACTAAACTTAGCAACTTAGTTCTTCTACACAACAGTCTATTAAATTAAATCAATTGGAAACCAACCATTTGATTGACAAACTGCATCAAATCAAAAAATATAGTCCAAGTAGTAAGTGACAATTTTGCATATTCAATCACAGTACAAAAAATAAATATCCAAAAAATTCAACAACATCTTGAATATATATTTTATGGAATAATAACATCATAGTCACTTGTTTTTAATTGATCTAAATAACAATATTAATTATAAACTAAATTTGTAACGAAATGAAAAAGTAACAAAAAATATTTTAATACATATATACAAATATGGTTGGTGAATCATAATTGACCATACTATGCCGCTAACTTAGTTTCATTATTTTCCTCCAATACCCTAAATTGCAATAAATATGTTAATGGGCACAATTTAAACAAAATCAATCCGGACAAGGCCGAGAATTGATTCTGTGTTTATTTACATAGGTTCTCAAATAGTAAAAAAAATTCAACTAAATTACATAGTATTATCAATAATACATATGAACAAGTTGAGAATATGCATACATAGCACATATCTCGATTAATTTTATGTACAAAATGTTTTGAATTTATTATTGGCATCTTATATCTGAACCAATTATGAATAGTTTTGATTTTATATTCATTTTCAAAGAAAAAAAATGTTGGAAGCAATAAACTTTGATAATGTGACAACTTTATTTCGATAATTCAACAGACCAACAGATTTTTTTTTGAAAATAATTCATGTAAAACAATTTGTAACAATAGTTATCTTCAGAGTATTCACGTCACACACGTTAAATACACTGCAAAATATACAAAATATATATACACATGTACATACTTATATATATACACGTAAGTATATAAGAAAACTTTTATATATAACTCACAGTCATCGATTGCAGACATAGTCAAGAAGTTCGTTTCAATAAATGAAACATTGTCCATTTCATGTATTAAATATATATTTTTAACATAACACTCACTGTTAAGGAAATCAATCTTCTATAATTATTTATACTTTATATTCAACCTGTTTTTAAATTACAATTTATATAGTAAGTTTCTAAGGTTTTAATATTTAAGAATTATATTTTATATGTCTATAAATAGGTTAAAGTCTCAGTGTAGGTTTACTTCCCACGGTTTATTTACGCAAACGCACCACATTGCAATATTATTTTTAATCTTGCTTTTTAAAGTCACATAGTAGCATGACTTCATTAACCGGAAGCCCAAGGAGTCATGATTCAAGCTGTCACTCCTCGGTGGAGGACTCATCATCTTGTTCTTGCAGAACGGTGAAGAAAGACACGAGGCATTTCTCAGCAACACCTTTGGAAATAAACAACACTTATTATAAAACCAAAATACACAATTTAAGGGACACCATTAGAGGCAAGAATTTTATGTGTAACAATATTTTTACTATTATTTTTTTTTTCAAGTTTTGATTCTTAGCAGGTGATGAGTCTCAAAAAATTGAAACAAACATGCCTCTGATTTTAGCCCTCCAAATAATACAATAAAACTAGTGGGGTGGGCGGCATCGTGCCTTAAGGCAAATTGCTGGAACTTCCCGTACCGTAACGAAATGTTCGAGGAATATTGAATGTTTTCAAATAGATTTTTATAAATATTGTAACATTGTCTAATATTTATAAGAATTATATAAACTGAATTGCAAAGTTGAAATTATTTGTTCAAAGTATATTAGAACTATAGTCAGACATAAAAATAAAATCTGAATTATTTTCGATATACAAAAAATTTAAAAAAAAAAGAAAAAAAATGAAACAAAAAATTTTTTTCCAAAATCAATTATTTTGTTAAGACAAGCAGAAAGTTCTTTGAATCAATTAAATCGGACGCTTAGTTCTCTCAAAAACTGTCATTTTTTGTACATTTAGCTCCGTATCTCCGAAATGGCTGGGCCTGCCTTTGCCAAAAACTAATCAGCACATCTCCTTATCAATAGGAATCGAATGTTTTTTAAACCGTTCAAATCGGTTGATCCGTACGCCCGAAAACGTGGGCGAAAATTTGTATCCATACATACATACACACACACACACACACACACACACACATCCATTTTTTCTGAAGTATGCCAAAATGTTCAGAAACTTTCGAAACGTCGGGAAATGTAAAAATTTTCAATTCCGATTTTCGGCCCATTACAATAACTTACCCTACGAGAAGTTAAAAAAAAAAAAGTACGATTATTAATCTAGAACAGTGTCGCATCCGTATAAAGTACAGGAACAATATAAAAATTTTTTTTTGTTAAAATAGCAACTGTCTGAAAACAAAATAATTTATTACAATTTTTTAGATATTTCTGATATTTTTAGGAATAGTAAAATTCGAAAATTGGGTATGATAGTAGTTCATACTGAAGAGAAGTCTATAAAGAAGACTCTATAAAATTTCAAGTAAGCCGCTCCAGTAATAATTTCGAAATCGTGGTTATCCTATAGAGAAAGACAGTTTTGAGAAAACTGTTCAAAGTTTCACTGAGGTACTAAACAGAGGAGGATTATCGCGGTCAAACAGCTGTACCCTCAAAAATACAATTCCAATTTTAAAAAATTCTCTTAAACATATGTTCTTGAATAGTTACAACTTTAAGGGGGGCGATACATGTAACAAGAAAAAAAAAATCGATTTTTTTTTTCATAAATCGTTACAACATCTCAAAAATATGCCTGTAAGTATTCAAAACAAAATTATCATTATTTATACAATAAAAACTCATTTAAGTGCCACGCCTCAACTCGACGCTTGAGTGCTATTGTACTCTTATCTGTTTCTGTGTCAAAACTTTAAACGCGTTTTTCTCAAAACGACATTTTCGAAATTTGCGGGCGGGATAACTCAGAAAGTTCTCAACCGATTCCAATGAAATTTTGCACACATCTACTTTACAGTAATAGCTTCTAAACCTCAAACATTCCAAAAAAAAATTCAAAAATTAACCCTTTACCAAAAAAAAACCATTGAAAAAAAGGTGAAAAATCGAACTTTTTTTTCTGAGGTGTGCCAATTTACGATTTTGTGACTTTTTTAATTTTTTTTGGTTTAACTAGAAGATATATGTTTTATGAACACGTACAAACTAATTTTTTTTTATTTCAAATCACCGTACGAAAAGTGAGAACGCCCGCAAATTGATGGCGTTTTCCGAGAGGGTCTTTCTTGGCAGATTTATTTTTACGGCGGCAATTAAAAAAAAAAAAATTTTTTGTGTATTTTAATATATAATAAACAACCCTAAAAAAGTTCAAAAAGATTCAGTCATTCCTTCCCAGTTTAAAAAGTCCTCAAAAAATGGTAAAAATTAAGGCGATTACATGTATCGCCTCCCTTAAATGCATAAAGAACAAAATCGATTTCTCAAAACATTTAGACTGAAGTACCCCATTAAACATAAATGACAAAACACAAAAACTTACCTTTTCCTTCAATTTCTGCAGGGTCAGTACTATTTTTCCATTGCAAGAAAGAATCTCCTGTTATAATACCCGAATCCCAAAGCATATTAAACAATTGCACTAAAACACCTGAAAAAAATAGAACAAATTGTTTTAGGGTAGAAGCAAAGGATATGTATTTCAAAAAAAAAGTTAGGGTTATTTTGTTTTAAAAACTGATATATCTTGTTCAAAAAAATCCACAAAAATAATGCTCTATTAAAATATATTTACTATAATTAATGATAGATTATTTAACTTCCCATAGAGTAATATTTCAAAAAAATTGAAGATAAAAATGTTTATATATCTCACATTTCAAATTTGATTTGAATATATAATACAGTTATATACTTTCTAATTGTTTTTAATAAGCATCCATCAGTATCAAATGAAATTGTTTTTTAATAAATGCATATTAAATTGTAGTATGAGCAAAATATTGCATCAATTATCATTATCTATTATAAATTTATTACCTTGTGGATATTCTAATTTATGCATGTAACACTGAATGGCATAAAGCGCTTGAAGTTCACAATCGGGTTTGTTAGAAATGTATGTTGTCAGTAGATCATAATGTTTCTTGAATACATTTTCCAATAAAACCCACGCCTTTGAATGTTTAGTTACGGAATGTTCGCATACAGCTGTCATTAGAGTTCTGGCAAACGCAGGAGTATTTGACATATCACCAACATTCATCTGGAAATAGATAAATGAGCATAGTGGAAATTTAAGGGGGTCTTCCTATGTGATGGGTTGAAAAAATCGTTTTTTTTTTTTTCATAAATTGCTCCCTTAACATGTCTAGAATAAGGTAGTAAAGCGATTTTAGAAAATTTGAAGTCGTTTTAAAGATACAGCAAGTAAAAGAAAGAGCGGTTCGAATAGTTTTTAACGGACTTGAAACTTTAAACGCGTTTTTCTCAAAACTGTGTTTTTCAAAATTTCCTCCATTGTATCTCAGAAACGGCTGGACCGAATTACTTGAAATTTACAGGGCACACTCAATATATTTAAACGCATAGAATGAACCATTATCAAACGAAAATTTTCAAAACTTCGATTTTTTTATAGCAAAAACCAAAAAAAAAACGCCTAATTTGCAACTTTTATTTCAAATGTCTATCAAAAATCCAATTTTTTTAATATTCATTTGATTATAGGTCATTCCGTGCTTTTAAGCCTACATTTTTAAAACGCCGTTTATTTTTTTTTTTTCAGATAAGCCGATCAGCCGAAATCGTGCAGGAAGTGGGAGCTCTTTTTTTCGAGGCGGGGGTGTTCAGAGCGCTGTAACTCTAGTTTGACTGAATATTTTTAGCTGTAATTTTATATTTATACTGTCCAAATATGTGTACATAAATGATAAAAAACTTGAAGCTCTAAATATTAACTGGTCATAGAAAAAAAATCCTAAAATATCCCTAAAAAACAGGCTGTCACATAGGAAGACCCCCTTAAATTGCATTTGCATATACAAATATAGACTTACAGTTATCCATTGTTCAATATTTGCATCGGAATCATTTTCAGTCATAAATTTCAATATTCTTTCTTGAATTTGTTTCATACTAAGATGACTTGAGCTATTTATAGCATGAATTGCTCCTCCAGTGACATAATCCAGTTCCTAAGCAGATAAAACTCTGATCAATAATTGTTTACAATATTGTTATATATAATTTTTTTTTTTTTTAAATTGTCAGATTAAATTTATCTGTCATGAACAATTCAGTTCACTACTTTCATCAATTTAATAAAATCATCACAGTATTGAAATTAACTGTAAACTAATATAATTTATAATATTAATACATACCTTTGATTTAACAAAATCATCCACTTTCTTTTCATCCATGAATGACTTCCAAGATAAACCAGATTTTGCCCATATGTCTTTAACTCGACCAGGTCCTTTTTCTTTTGATATAGTTTTAAAAATAGCAGCTATAAATTCCCCAGCCAAATCTTGACTTATCAGTACATGTGATATTTTATGAATGTCTTTCAAGTTTACACATTCAGACGCAAGAACGGGCGCTGAAAATTATAATTGTTATTAGGAAACAAAATCTTTATTAAAGATAAGAGAAAACTAGCTGTAAGTGGAATTCTGTCTTAAGGCAATTAAGGCATCGTGTCTTAAGGCAAATTGCTGAAACTTCCCGTACCAAAAATTATTATTTTTTTAAATACGATCAACATTTTTGAAAAAAATTTACTTTGAAAAAATAAGATTTTTGAGAAACTATAAATTGGACAAAAAATTACTTTTTTTTGAAAAAAAAAATTTTTTTTTGAATTTTTTTTTTTGAAAAAAAAATTTTTTTCTTTATTTTGACATATTGTGGAAGATCTGAACTTTTTTTTTCAAAGCAATCGTACTGCTTTAACTGCATAGGGACAAAATATAAAGCGCGTAAGCGCCGCGTCGCTGTCTAACGCATAAGCATTGGTACGGAACCCATAGGAATGTTAACAAAATTTATACTTTTTTTTTAAATCTCTATAAAATAATATCTGATAATTTGATGTGCATATGTCTAATGATCATTTTTGACCGCCAAATGGCTCATTTTTTTACTTTCTCCTCTATATTTCCGAAACCGCTAGATCTACCTTCATGAAAATTTTATCGATTCTTCATCTTGTCAATTCAAGTGAAATGTTTTTTGAATTATTCAAATCGGACGCTCCGTTCTCTTAAAAACGGAGTTACCGTTTTCGGCACTTTGCCCCCTATCTTCGGAACGGCGAGACCTGCCTTCGCCAAAAACTAATCAGCACGTCTCCTTATCAATACGAATCGAATGTTTTTTGAATTATTCAAATCGGTTGATCCGTGTTCCCGAAATCGTCGACGAAAATTTGTATCCGCACATACATACACACACACACACACACACATACATCCATTTTTTCTAAGGTATGCCAAAATGTTCAGAAACTTCTGAAACGTAAAGATATATAAAAATTTTCATTTTTGATTTTTTTGCGATTACTATAACTTGCCCTAAGGGAAGTTAAAAAATATTTATTGTACCGATTAAATCTGCCAAGTACTCCCACATCTTAGGAATATCAACCCGAAGATCATCTGCAAATTCCAAGACTTCTTCTAGACCACACAAGTAGCTTTTAATAGGAAGCAACTTATTTTTAATCATATGAACTACAATTTGAGCAGCTTTTTCTCTTAGAACTTGATTTTTCTCTAAACATGCCATGTATAATTCTCTAAGGAACCCGTAGAGCTGATTAGTTGTACATAGAGATTGAATTTCTTGACCAGCAGCCTATTAAGAATATTCACATTATTTTAAGAAATATTTTACTAGTTATAACATAACAATTTTACCACTTACTTCAATTTTGAACGAACTATTTGCATAATCTTCTACAATATCAACAATTCTAAGTTTCATCTTATTCAGTAGTTTCTCTGGAATATCTTCTTTCGGAATATTACTGTCCACTTGAGGTTGAGTTTGACTCTGTGGTGGGGGTTGGTTAAAAGCAGGGGTCATTACTGGTGGCGGCATTGAACCTTGTCTGGTCATTTGAGGCATGTTGCTCATTGGGCCTGGTAATTGTTGTGAACGACCGCTACCCGTATGAAGAGGTGCATGTGACCGAGATGAAGAATTGTCTCTGGATCGATGTTGAGAGCCGCTTCGCGAAGAACGATTCTCTGTAAATAGATATATAATCATTTGAAGGAATATATGTAGATTTTAGTTAAAGATTTGTTGAAATTTGTAGGGAAATAAGTAAATTATGCTGTTAAAATCAATGGATTTATTTCATAAGGTTATGATTTATCATATGAAAAGTTATAAAATGTATAACTAAGCATGAATTTTGTTTAACACTATTCCTACCGACATTTCATGTTTACTATTCCTACCGCGACCGGTCAAATGACCGGTCATGCAAAATTCATATTTTTCAGTATTGAATTAAGAGTTAATGCTAGTTTTTGAGTTTATAAATACATTCACAAAATATTTCTATTATTTTAGAATGCGAAATCAACATTTTATTCTGTTTTATCCAATTTTTTACGATTTTTTTTCTTAGAGTGTATTTTCTGCACACGCATTTTTTACGTTTTTGGCTGATTTTGTTCGCCCTATCATCTTTCTGAAACATTATCTGGAATATTTTATTTTAGGGAATCTGTTTAGTATTTGTACTTAGTTGATTTTTTTCTGAATTCTTGTTGCAACTATATGGCAAGTTAATTGGAATAGAAAGTTCCTGCCTTGTACATCGTCTTCCCATAATTTCTTTATGTGAAAACAATGGATTTATTTTGAATAAATACAAAATAATGTAAATTCTTGATAAATTCATATTTTACCGAATGAATTATGACTACTTTACGAATGACATCTACACCAAACACGACGCTAATACCAATTGAATTGACTCCCGTATTAGTGTAATTTTTTCCACATATGTGTATGTAAGTGAAAATTAGAATCTTCTTTCTTAGCTTCCAAAATTGTAAATATTATTTGAGTGAAGTCTTTGATTTTTAGTTTTACCAGTATTTGTAGCTGTTATATAGCTTCAATTGTACCTACCATCACATTTTCTTTTTTTACTAAAAGTTTAGCTATAAGTATAGGATGGTAAAACGCCTAAATTTTTATACGGTTTCATTGCTTATAAATCTTCAAAGAAATTCTCAGTTTTCTACGTATACTGGATGGTTATCAAAATTTTACACCCCATTTGTGCGATTTGCTGGGCATAATTATATTTACATCAATTTACATTAATTATAGTTACTAAAATTTTATACTACGTTTTCCTGAATATTATTGAACATGTACACAACAATTTTGATTGCTGTCAATGTAGTTGAACCAACTTTTAGATTCAAAACAAAACCTATCAATATGTTGCTTGGAATCCTTCATAAAAATCTGTCTACACATCGACATTGAGCAAAAATGAGAAAACCCACTTTGTATACCGTAGAAGTGCAATATTTATACTCCTTGCCTCATATGCGCAGAGTGGATACAGAATTGGAAAAAATGCATATAAATTTGCAGAAGGCAGTTTTTACAACTCTAAATTCTTCTGAATTTACATTCTCTTGTAAGTTCGATAATATTCTTAACAATTAGTATAAAAAATGCCGCCCGAACATCGTCGTCAAATGACCGGTCGCGGTAGGTAAGACAGTATACAATTTTTTTTCCAAAAATAAAAATTGAAGAAACAAATTAACATTGAAAAATGTATCATACTCACATATTAGGAAAAGTCATGAAGTTTGATGACGATTCAATTACGTTTGATATGAAAAATACTCGAAAAATCAAAAACGATCATTTGACCGATCCCGGTAGGAATAGTGTTAAATGTAGCAAAGTATGGACAACTTGTATAATAAATATATTTATAAAATTGCAATATATCCAAGTTCATCATAAAAGCATAATTCACATACACATTTATCAGATTATAAAGTATCTTTCACAAACCTTTCAGTTCACTACTTTCATCTATTTTTAAAAATCATCATGTTCTTATATCAAACTAGATAAATAATTTCAATTTTACTAAAAAAAAAAACTTACCATCATATTTCTTGTATCTTTCCATGGAAGGTCCTTTAGAATGATATCCAGGATCATTTTTATTTCTGGAGCCTCGTCTGTCGTCTTCAACATTCTCCAATGCCGAATAATAATTAATTTGTGATGGAGTAGACTTCATATTGCTACCATGGCCCCAATTACCGTACTGGGGTTTACCTAATGAAATGTCTTCTGTAGCATGTATCTGAAGTATAAGAAAAATATACATATAGACACACACATATATATATATAATAAATATATACTTTATTATTATTATTATTATTTTTATTACCGCTGGCATCAAAGATTGTCTAAGTTTGCTCATGTCTGGGAATGAGTGACCGCTGCGTGAACCCCTTCCTCCAGCAGTAGACCATCCATCTTCGTTCATTTGACTTCTCTTCCTGCCATCGTTTGAGCCCATGCTTCCCATATTGCCCCTCCTGTCGTTATCTTTTCTGGGAGTAGGCGTAGAATTCATCAATTGTATTTGCATTTGTTCATTTTCAGCTTCCTTCTGAATTTGATCCATTGTTTTTGGGTTCGTGTCATTGTGTCGGGGTTTCCATTTGTTTAGTCGTAATTCAATTACATCTTGGAGCATAAACCTATTGAAATAAAATGGAATAAATAAATGAATTTTGTAATCTATGCGAGTATGATTGTAGACGAAACTTTTTTATAGGTAAGAAGAAGAAGAAGTATTGAATGTTTAACCCTTTGCCATTCGACGTATTTTGACGAAAACGTGCCTGCTGCAAACTTGATATTGTTCGTGTGTTATACAATTTATTAACTTCCCGTAAAGTAAGTTATTGTAATGGGCCGAAAATCGGAATTGAAAATTTTAACATTTCTCGACGTTTTGAAGGTTTCTGAACATTTTGGCATACTTCAGAAAAAATGGATGTGTGTGTGTGTGTGTGTGTGTATGTGTGTGTGTGTGTGTATGTATGTATGGATACAAATTTTCGCCCACGTTTTCGGGCGTACAGATCAACCGATTTGAATGGTTCAAAAAACATTCGATTCTTATTAATAAGGAGATGTGCTGTTTAGTTTTTGGCTAAGGCAGGTCCAGCCGTTTCGGAGATACGGAGCAAAGAGTGCAGAAAATAGAAATCGAGTTTTTGAGAGAACAGAGCATCCGATTTGAATTATCTAAAAAACATTCAATTAGTAATGATTGGGAGAAGTGGTTATTAGTTTTTCGCAAAGGCAGGTCCAGCCATTTCTCAACAAAATAATTGATTTTGGAAAAAAAAAATTTCTTTCAACTTTTTTTTTTTTTTTTTTTTTAATAATTTGTATATCGAAAATAATTCAGATTTTATTTTTAATTCTGACTAAAGTTCTAATATACTTTAAACAAATAACTTCAACTTTGCAATTCAGTTTATGTAATTCTTATAAATATTAGACGCAGTATATATAATTCTATTCATTTTCCATTTTTTTGTACTTCATGAAAATTATCATTTTAAGTAAACATTTTAAATTTTAAGTAAAATTTGACAAATAAAAAATAATTAAGTATTTATAGTCACATTTTGATTAAAATATAATCAGTCTCATTTGTTGAAATTAATTTATTGGGAAATGCTAATGTTAAAATATTTTTTTGAATTATTTGATTATTGTATTATTTAATTATTATATTTTAATAATTAATTTATAATTTATATATATATATATATAATATATTATTAATTATAATATATTTCAGAAATTACGTTTTTATTTCAACACGATATGTTTTTGCACATGATGGTTCGAATATGGTTTCGAATATGGTTCAATATGGTTCAAAATTCTATTAAAAGTTTCACATCATTGATCAACTTTTATTGATTATTATTGATTATTTTTAATTACTCGAATTTTGAATTGCGGTACGGGAAGTTCCTGCAATTTGCCTCAAGGCACGCGGCCCTAATTGCCTTAGGACAGAATTCCACTTACAGCTAGTTTTATATGAATTTGTGGGCCTTGAAAAAAATGTCTTATCAATCCATAAATTTATTTTAAGAGTGAGCAACATTTTTATATCGTGGATTGGATTCAGAATGGCTTGAAACGTCGAAAAAACAAAATTAGCGAATCGGATTTTTTTATAAAAACATTCAGGAAGTTTAAAGAGTAAATACTTCATAAATTAATGCAACAAGGAAAGAATACATGATGTTTAAATTATTGATAGAATAAACATGAAAAAATAAATAATATTCTATCATTAATTTATCCTATTCGATGCTTCAATGTGAACTGAGTCATTGTGTGTACAAATTGAAGGGTTAAAAGTTGATGACAACATAAATTCTGTTTACTCAAATTTTCAGTAAAGAATGTTCAGTTTTTATAAATAAAATTATAAATATAAATCAATTAAGACACTTACCTAACTCTACTGCTAATTTTCCCATGTTTTCGATCAACAATTTCTTGCATTTTAAGAAAAGTAGGTTTCAAATCTTGATTTTTGTTAATTTCTAAATCTCGGCCAATTGTCGTCAACAATTTGCACAGGCACTCGAGGCTTTCTTCTTCAATTGACTGCAGTAGCATCCTAAGGCACTGCATCATGATTTTTGTGGTCAACATACCTTGTTTGAATAACTCTCCAATAAATCTAACATTTCCAACAGATTTAACACGAATCTTTCGCTCTTCTTCTTCTAAATTAAACTGTAGTTCCTTCTTCTTCTCAGGATCTGTACACGCTTCAATTTCTTTCAGTTTAACTTCTCTTGCGGTTTCATCTACTGTATTTTTCTCAAATTCATTTTGACAACGGGATAAGAGCAATTTACGGAAATTGACGTATTCAACAGTTGAAGATTGACCGTTTTGTTGGTCAGCAGGAACTTGGATAAGAGCTAACTCTTTACACATATATGCATAAGCTACAGAAAAACTAGGTTCATCAACAGCCTGAAATTAAATCAACAATTAGTAAATTTGCTAGTCACTTTTTATCATATTTGGAACTTAACACTATTCCTACCGGGACCGGTCAAATGACCGTTTTTGATTTTTCGATTAGTATTTTTCATATCAAACGTAATTGAATCGTCATCAAACTTTATGACTTTTCCTAATATTTTTCAATTTTTATTTTTGGAAAAAAATTGTATACTGTCTTACCTACCGCGACCGGTTATTTGACCGGTAGTATGACAGACGATGATCGGACGGCATTTTTTGTAGTAGTTGTTGTAAGTAAGATTATGATCGAACTTACAAGAAAATGTAAATTCAGAAGAATTTAGAGTGGTAAAAACCGCCTTCTGCAAATTTATATGCATTTTTTCCAATTTTGTATGCTCGCTGCGCTTATGAGGCAAGGAGTATAAATATTGCACTTCTACGGTGTAAAAAGTGGGTTTTCTCATTTTTGCTCAATGTCAAACAGATTTTTACGAAGGAATACAAAGGTTGGTTCAACTCCATTGACAGCAATCAAAATTGTTGTAAAAGATCACGTATTACGATCGACAAACATATATTTTCAATAAAGGTAAAATGTAAATTTATTCAATTTTCGTATCTGTTCAATATACGATGTAAATATAATTATGCCCAGCAAATCGCACAAATGGGGCGTAAAATTTTGGTAACTATCCAAGTATACGTAGCAAACTGAGAATTTCTTTGAAAAGATTTATAACTGATGAAACCGTATTATCAAAATCGCTAGTACGACGTAAAAAATATATAACGTTTTTACCATCTTACAAATAGCTAAACTTTTAGTAAAAAAACTGATGGTAGGTACAATTGAAGCAATATAACTGTTATAAATACTGGCAGATCTAAAAATCAAGGACCTCAACACTCAAATAATATTTACAATTTTGGAAGCTAAGAAAGAAGATTCTAATGTTCACATACATACACATATGTTGAAAAAATTACACTAATACGGGAGTTAATTCAATTGGTATTAGCGTCGGGACTGATGTAGATGTCATTCATTAAATAGTCAGAAATCATTCGATCAGCCAATTCAAAATCAGCAAAAAACGTAAAAAATGCGTGTGCAGAAAATACATTCTAAGAAAAAAGTCGTAAGAGATTGGATACAACAGTATAAAATGTAGATTTCGCATTCTAAAATAAAAGAAATATATTGTATTTGTATTTATAAACTCTTAAACTAGCATTAACTCTTCATTCAATACTGAAAAATACCGATTTTGCATGACCGGTCATTTGACCGGTCGCGGTAGGAATAGCAAACATGAAATGTCGGTAGGAATAGTGTTAAATAAGACTTACCTTTTCAAATACTAAATCCATAACACCTTTAAGTCTTTCTGTAGTGTTAATATCAAGATCCCTAACTTGCCTAACCAAGGTTTCGAATTTTTGTGGCGTAAGCTTGTTGAGGACTCCTCGTACTTTTTTATACAATTCCTAAAAAATCAACTTATTTAGCATACTGAAACAAACAATATAATAATTCACACTTACTTCAGTTTGCCTGCTGTCGTCATTAACATTAACATTTTTCATATGGGATGGTTTCCAAGCATTTTCAGTTTCATGTAATTTAACTTCATCTCTTAATGATAATGAAACATGTATAATTCCTGGTTTACTACTAACTGAACCACCTTTTGAACCACCAGACTTTCCCTGTAAATAATAATTTTAAGAATGAAAAATGTTGCAATATGAGCGGAATTTAAAAGTAAGTTTATTACCACTCTTTGGGATTGTGACTTTGCAAATCCAGGGAACAGAGCATCATGCTGCCTATTCAGACTTGGGAAATTTCTTGGAGGGTCTCTACTCAATTGCTGTAAAAAATACATAAAACTCTTAAAAAATATTATATGATATTTGAATTATTAAGTTCCCTTAGGCTAAGTTATAGTAATCGCAAAAAAATCGTGAACGAAAATTTTTATAAAAAATGACAAAATATGAGGAGGGAGGGGTATAGTAAGATACACGTGTATTTATTTCATACCAGAAATTTTAAACAAATCCAAACATTTAACCCTCCGTCGGTCGGCGTGGTCTGGCCAGACTTTTTTCGACTTCAATTAAAAAAAAAATACATCTAGTAATCCTATCGACTTGAAATTTCTTCACCTTTCCTAAAATTTCGTTAGCTGTCGATCAATGAAAAATTCAGGACAAAAAAATATACAGAAGGATAATTATAAGGATATTAACTTTTTTAACTTCGAACGTTTTGTATGAAATATAAGCTTTTTGATATAGTAAACCAGTATTTTGTCTTTTTTCATAGTATTTTCTATTCAAACTGCGTTGTATATATATTTGCTATGTATTGTAACATGAATGTTAGTATTTTCATAAAGAGAGTTCCTTGAAAACCTACCAAACT